GTTTATAGTGCTTTGAATGTTTAATATTATTAATCATAAGGTTTAATATCATTTGGGAACACGAAAACAATAAGACATTTGAAACTTCAACTATTATAGCCGATGAAACGAACAAAACCTACGAATATCACAAGGCGCAGAACAAAACCTCAAATATCTATAAGATACAGTAAAATTGTATTCAACGCACAAAATGAGTTTATAACTATATATAGGTACTAGCTGACCCGGCAAACATTGTTTTGCCATATATAAGATTTCTAGGGAATTTCTAGTGTAGAAAAAAAAGCTAACTTATTGTAAGTGTGTAAGGATGTGGTAAATGAGTGAAAGAGGTATGTAGTGCTGTGAACGATGAGGGAATATATAATAAAAATAACAAAACCTCATTCAACCACATAATACCTCATTATAAGAAAAAAAAAAGTCCAAATAAAAAAAAAATATGTTAGGGGTGGACAACCCTAATCACTTAGGGGTATGAAAAATAGATAGTAGCCGATTCTCAGACTTACTGAATATGCATAAAAAAATTCATGAGAATCGGTCAAGCGGTTTTGGAGGAGTATGAGAACGAACATTGTGACACGAGAATTTTATATATTAGACTAGCTGACCCAGCAAACGTTGTGTTGCCTTAAATAAGATTTCTAGAGAAATTCTACTGTAGAAAAAAAACTTCATTTAACCACATAATACCTCATTATAAACAAAAAAAATATATCCAAAAAATTAAAATTAAAAGTAAATGTTTGGGGTGGACAACCCTTTTCACTTAGGGGTATGAAAAATAGATAGTAGCCGATTCTCAGATCTACTGAACATACTATTGATACACAAATAAAACCAAAAAAACATGGCTGAAAAATGTATAGTATTGTGTATATAGCTCTTAAATATATTAAGTGTATAAATCTATGATGTATAGTGAGTAAGTAAGACAGGAGACCGGCTTCGTCCTCATCCCCACTACGTGATGTTTGCTGGATGAGTGGTGACACCTGGCGGGCATAGCTGATCGATTGATAGTTGATCAGTCGACCGGCGAGGGCGGGAGATCAAATTGAATTTAAAAAAAATCATATTTGAAGAACTTGAAATTATAAACTCTGAATAAGAATTTATCGTACTACAATTATAATATTTGATTGCCATCTTGCAAACTTATTGCAGATCTGTGCATAGAATAAAAAAAATCTTAATCGGGATGGAAAAATAGGGGTTGATTGTATAAGAGTGAAAATNCCCGGCGTCACCTGCGATAACGCGGCCGCGCGTTGGCTCCTGATTGGCGCGCGCACGCATCACGCAATCAGGAGCCAATCAGGCGCATAACGCATTTCGTGTGACATGCTAGTACGATTTTGGTCCCCATAATTTTCATACCCCGGGCCTATATATGTAAATCGATTCTAAAGGAGTAAACTCCAATAAACTCCAATAATATTATTTTAATGTGACTATGATGGGAATATCATATTATCTACTTTACTTATTTTGGCCCAAAGATTTTGTCAGTCGTGTTGTAACCGACTGACTATTTAGAATTATATAGAAGTCAAGTTTTACTGATGGTAGGAGGTCTTGTGAACCCGCATGGGTAGGTACCATACCACCTTGCCTATTCGTTCCGCGAAGCAGTAATGCATTCCGAATTGAAGCGTGGGGCAGCTGTTGTATTATGTAATTGAGATTTAGAATGAATTAAGATGGGTGGGGCATTAACGTTGTTAATATCAATAGGCTCCTGTAGCCACTTAGCACCAGGTGGGCCGTGAGCTCGATAGCCCATATAAGCAATATTTAAAATCAAAAACTTAAAGCGCGTGTTAATTCACGGGTAGAAATAGTTCATTACAATATGCGATATCATTACAACCACACTGCAAATCATAACAAATCAAATGTATTTATTTATTTCGTATATCTCAAGGTGACGACGAACTTAACGTTTTATCGCGACATTTTCTTATCAGTTAGCTGTTATTATGTCATCATTACATATCTTATTTATTATGTTATTGTAAATGGGTTTTTATTAATTGCACACGAACAGATAACAGTTATTCGGACGGTCCTTGCGTTAGTGATGGCCGAACGTCGTATATTTGAATGAGTCGATGTTTTAGAATCGATTACTGATTCGCGGAATTCGAATGAAAGTCTAACGATCGATTAAGCGATTGGTGCTTGGTGGCCTATAATTTAATGGGCACAGCTATGGACGGTGAAATCGATAGTGTGGTGCGTTTTCTATTGATTATCCAACCTCAAGCACCGGTCACCGTTCTCGCCGAGCCCGTCGCTTGCGATGAAGGGCTCGACGAGTGAATTAACCCATAGACACAGCCCACTGCGTTTCTCGCCGGATCTTCTCAGTGGGTGGCGTTTTTGATCCGGTGGTAGATTCTGCGAAGAACTGCTCTTGCTAGGGCCAGTGTTAGCAACACTCCCGGCTTGAGCCCCGTGAGCTCACCTACACGTCAAGGAGATGCTGAAATAGCCTCTCTATCAATTTAAATCAAGAATAATAATGACTTTACATTTCTTCTTCGTTGTCATGTATCATGTGACTGACTCGATGGTACAGTAGCTAGCGTTTCTGAGGCTGGGTCATGGGTTCGGTTTCCAGATCGGGCAAATGTTCGTGTGAACGATTTTGTTTGCTCTTTATCTGGGTGTTTAATACCTATAGATTTATATATTTAAACGTAATTAAGTTGGTATATCCGTCTCTGGTTCCCATGGTACAGAGAATACTACTTAATTTGGAACTAGATGACCGGGTGTCTGGTTCCCGGTAATAATTATTATTATTTCGTTTTAAATCCATTCTACTTTATCTGAGCGCTCAAATTGAATGACCGTGGTTAACAATTAACGTAAGGGGGCCGACCATGGAGACTAATTAAAATCAGGGTCATAAATTTTTTGAAATGGGTTCAACGACCTCAGGTTATGAACGTGCACTAGAAAAATACATTTGTACAAAAAAACAAAAATATGCTTAACGTGTTTTATCAAAAATTCCAAAAGATAATCTGGTCGTGTAACTTTTACTTCGTAATTTGGGTCCTCATAATGGTTTTTACACACGCGAAAAAACGTTTTATAAATGCTTTGTATTTCTTTAGCAATTCTATGAATAGTTGTTATTGTGTTTAATTGTTATTGCTGATACGAAATTAAAAAAATAAATAGCCGATTAGTCTTGAGGAGGATCGAGCTTGTCTTCAAGAGTGAATCGAAGCAAATCTACATCTTTAAAACTCTGTCGGGTTTGAACTGTTAAGGAAAATTATTAGGAAAATTATTATTATCTACTGGTGGTAGGACCTCTTGTGAGTCCGCACGGGTAGGTACTAGAAATAGGAAGGTTATGGTACCTACCCGTGTCTAACAGTAATTGTTAATATTAGTCTCTGCGTTTGTGAAAGGCTAATAGGCTGATGCTTTCAATACAAATGTTAAGCTGTGCGCTTTTAACTCACATTATGGCGTATTAACAACGCCTCCGCGTCGCTGTATATTTTATATCGTGATTAATATTTCAGTAAAGAAAATAATGGATTGTGGGTAATTTATATCGATAATATAATACGTAAAATAATTTGCTAGGGAACCAAAAAATATCCGCCCACGATGTATTTATTGTGTACATTATGTTGATTGATTGTTAGAAACTTGTTATGTTATTTGCGATTGAATAAAATTATACAAAAATATTGTATATAATTTACTTCTGTTTTGTCTGGATAAATAGCGAGTAGTTTATCGTCTAACGCGAATGAATTTCGAACAGAAATAGGCAGAATGGTGCCTATCCCTCTGAACGTATATTACGCCCAGAGATTAGTAAAAATTGATTTTCATACGGAACTACAAAAACTTGAACGTTTTAAACACACTCCATATACAGGATGTACCCACGTAACGAATTTGGAAGCTGAAATTGTGATAATGTATTGAACTTGAATAGCATAATTCAAGCAGGGTTAGGGCATATCCCAAAACCATTGGTTTTTTTTTTATTTTTTTTTTATTGCCTTTGTAGGCAGACGAGCATACGGCCCACCTGATGGTGAGTGGTTACCGTCGCCCATGGACTTCAGCAATGCCAAGGGCAGAGCCAAGCCGCTGCCTACCGCTTAATATTCTCCACAAGCCTCGTTTGAAGAAGGACATGTCATAGCGCTCGGGAAACACCGTGGAGGGGAGCTCATTCCATAGCCGGATGGTACGTGGCAAAAAAGATCTCTGGAAACGCACTGTGGATGACCGCAGTGGCTCCAGGTAGTATGGATGAACTCTACTCCGGTGGCGGTGGTGTCCGGTATTTGATATCAAAGATACACATTATTAATCGAAAACAGAATATTATTTGGAAAGAATTTGTTTTTGAAATGGAAAGAACGTAAATAAAAATAATTGGAAAGAACGTAAATAAAAGTGATCTCCGCCATTTTTTAAAAAAAAAAACCCTTTTACTCTTCATACAATTTTTTGAGGAAAAAATTTTTTGTGTCTTCCAACTAGATTAATTTATTGTTTAATTATGTAAATTCAGGATATATAGATGGTGATTTTCGTACGTTGTATGTCGTTTTGAAACACCGCGTGGGTTGTGCGTATTCAATCTAGATTAGCTTGATAGGTTTTATTTATAGCATACCCAATTTTCTAAAATATACACAAGACAAGACAATTTTTAATTGATCGATACTATTTCCTACATTCAGCAAATAAAATATCTTTGACAGATTACTTTCTCTGTAGAAAGTGAAGGATGCAGTGAGCCCGTAAGAATAATAGAAATCTCAATATTGCAGTCAAGATCTCAGTCAGTTTTACGTCTGTTATTGCAATACAATTGAGATTTCTATCTCATGTCCGAGATAGCTAAAATAGCATGAGTTGGAGAGTCTGTGTATATAATATAAATGATATCAGCAAAATAACTAACAATATAAAAAAAACACGCTCTAACATTCAAGACTTACCACTGGAGGCGTTTTCAGAGGCGAACAGCGGGGCAGCGTTGTAATCTGTAAACAAATAAATTAACATTAAAAATTAATTAAATAAATTAAACAAAATTAAATTCTTATAACGAAAATAAAGGTAAGAATCTCGTCGAGCAAGCTCAATATTGTAAGGGCAGCAATAAATAAAGTTTTTCCGCCAAATAAACATTTGCGTCACAGTGAAACAGTATAACGGTAATATAACTGAAATTCGCCCTTGAAATAAACGCTGCTAGTGCTCTGTGACCGCTGGACGCCGCGTCTCGAATCCATTTGACCGGACACGTCTGTGACTATATTTCATACGTATAAGTACACAAACATTTATTTGTGAATATTAGAAAAGTATTTTATTGGTCGGCTTAAAATTCGTAGCGTCATTTCAGTTTAAATGGCCTATAATGGTTTCTATTGACGACCATTCTTCTTTCTAGTCAATTACAGTGAGCCACGCAATTTTATTTATATTTTAATTAGTGATTAAAATGCAGTAAGTGCGTTCGAGTCGGATCAACTTTCTTAAGTATACTAACTACTAAAAGGATGATTATCATTTTACAGTGTTGTATGTGGAATGTTGTGCAAGCTTTGTACTGAATGTGTGGCACGCACGTGTCGAGACGTGACGGTCTCGAAATGACATCGAGGTCCATCACAAACCGTGTCAATGGCGTATTAGTGCGCGTGCTGTGCATTGTCGAAAGTCTGAGATAGTAGTTGAGTTACTGTTTAAATTCTGCGCTGTGCTTTATTAACTTTGTTTTCTTTTTATTAGTTTTTGTTCGTTTGAAATGTTGATTTATTAAGACGACTAAACAGGAACAAAAAATCGTAATGAGAAATCTTAATACTTAAATAAGCCAAGGTTTTAAGACTTAAGCGCGACTAACAAAAATTAGTGCCTGGGTTATTTTATATTGAACAACTTTAGTTCACAGATGACTTATTATATCCACTCCATACAATACATGTGTCGTAATTGTATTGTTAATTCAATCAGAGAATAAGCAATGTTGGTACTAAAGACGGTGAATCAGAATACAGAAGGATTTGTTGGTTGGCACATAGACAACTTGATGCTGTTTGATCTTGGACATCAGTAATCCGTTGGGCCACAATCGAGCCTTTGTCTACCGTGAATCGAAAAGCAATAAGAAAACACAATTCATGGAATTATTGGAAGTAGCCACTTATAAATTCGAAGAAAGACAATACAAGGAAACGTGATTAATATTCAAAACAATTCAAACAGTCTCAGTCGAAGGCGCTCGGGTTAATGAATTCTGGAAAATGTCTATGCAATTTCTATTTCTGTATTATTGGATTTTGCTTTTTTTATTGAAATCGCAAAATAAATAAAAAGTAGGTCAAATGACTTCGTCACTTATTTCTTTTGTGTTAAGCAACATTTCATTAAAAAAAAACCTTTGCTCTTAAGAAAAAGTACTAAGCCCACACATTTTATTTACCGCATTTTTTAATTAAATTTAGACCAGTGCCAGTTCCAGTGTTATTAATATTTCTTTAGTCGTTACGAATAACACAATAGACGATGTTAATTTGTAGGAAAGTTTGGTTGCTGGAAATTATAACTTGCCTTCTTGATGCCAGAGAACATTAAACATTAATGCAATAGAAGAAATATCATTTTCGAATAGCAATTTATTTGAGTAGAAATTTGATTCGAATCATCATAGTCAATGAGGTGATACCGGTAGTGACGAGCGAAGCGGGAAGCGATCCGAAGGCCACGGGGTAAACGACACTCGCTTACGCAACGACTGCTAATGCTGTGATTGTTACCAATTAACAATGACCTCTGTCACCTTCGGTATGTTCTGCGAGCGGCCTTATTTGCCGTAGTTCTAATGTAATGGCCACTATCGGCCGCTAAGTACACGACTCAATTAATGCAAACACAAATTCTATCACTATTTTAACTTGCGAGTCAAACCGCTGACTTGACGCAAAGCTATCTAACGCATACCTATTGCTCTTTTAGTTTCATAGCGATTTTAGGAATTATTAATATACTAATTACATTAGCTAAATTATTTGATACTCTATTTTAAAATTTATTTTCCATTCGACATCTTAATCCAATTGTAATTTTTTTGTATTTAATGTATCGTTTATTTTTTATTTGTTTTTTTGGTGTACAATACAGAATACTCTGTCTTTCTCTCTCTCCCTCTCTCTTCTTATGATCACGAATTTACGGGAAAAGCTAATCGTAATTGACATTCGCGTCTATTAAAAAAAATCCAGATTTAGTACAAAAGCTACCTTTGTACTCATCATTTTGGCACAATGCCGCGTAGCAGCTCAAAGAACAGTTACAACACCCACAGACGCAGCCCACCGAGTTTTTCGATGCGGCGATAGATTCTGCGAAGCACTGCTCTTGCTAAGGCTGGTGTTAGCAAATTCTGTCAGGTTGATCTCGTGAGCTCGCCCACCCGTCCGGGCGTAGCTGGAATAGCCCTAAACTACAGTAATAGGTAAAACTATATATCACTTGATATCCGTGAACGAATGCAGATTCCGTCGTCAAGTTCCACATTGGTCATAGTCTGTGTGGTTGTGGGAATAGCCGAGGTTACACGACTCCGGACAGTTGTAGCTACTGCTAACATTTATGGGTATGCGTCAATATGGCTGGGCGTATGTGTGTGCATAAATGTTCAGTATACTGTGTATGTATTTAGATCACCGCTTCCCTCGTTGTTATTATTTCCATCACCGTTTGTGAAGCCGCCATTTATTGTTATTAACGTGTTTTAACGAAAGAATTACATCACTTATTTCGCGTACGAACGAAGCGTAAACAAATAAATAAATTTAACATTTCTCGAACTCGCATTTCCGAATCTTGAATTGACTTCTCAGAATTCAACACTCGTAAAATCCATTGGTTTTCAGTTTGATAATTAAATAAGATCTGTGGCCTCATTATGTGCTCTATGTCCAGTAATTGTGCACTAATATGTAACTACTTGGATGGACTCTGTCACGAAATATACAGGAGGATAATACTCGTGTATGACAGAGTAATTGACATTATTTCGGTTTTTACATTCAACTTTTTCACTAAATTTATTCCAGTCACGAACGAACAAATGTTTGTATAAGCTTCACACAAACAAAATCCGTGTTTATACAATGAAGCAATAATATGTTTGTTAATGTTCTAACACTGTGCTGCGCTCGTGTGAGTTACGCGTGTAAATACTTAGTGTTGTGCACAGAAAAATAGCCTTGAATCATAGTTTTTTGGGAACAAAGTTTTTCAAATTTCGGCGCCTCGTTAGTTTGTAAGCTAAATTGCATCTGAGGCGTTCATTTATAAGTACTGAATATTTGAGGTTGGTTGGAGGAGGAGGTGAATATGTTAAGTCAATCGAAGATTTTCCTATAAATTTCGCCGTAAATCGGTCCAGCTGTTCACACACCGGCTTTTATAGATACAGATAACATTTTATAGATACAAATTTTAATAACCATACGAAATCGATTAATATACTAAATTTCATCTTCGAGCTTATCTCGATAACCAAGAAGGGACTGACTTAATAGTGAAGCTAACCCTATTCGTAGAGTGACGTAATCATATAACGTAGAATAGAATCATACTGCAGACTAGCAGATATACAGACATACTATAATACAGACTAGCTACCGGCTGTTGGATGTTAATATCGATTTTTTTGTATCGATTTAAAAAATTACCTTTTTGTTAACAAACAAAAAAAAACATTACACATCACAACAGACATCACAAAATAATGCAACGATTACCGTGATTGTTATACGCGTTTTTTGTATACGTAAAATTTGACTGAATGTCGTTTCGGTCGAGTAAAATTATTTTCAACAAGGTGACTCCTAAAAGACTTTGCTTAAAATGTATACGGATAAAAAACACCACGTTACGAAATGTTTCTAGACGAATGTTTACGTGTATTGGTTTTTCATATCTCCAGAGAATATTTTATGATTTACCTGGAGCCACTGCGGTCATCCACAGTGCGTTTCCAGAGATCTTTTTTGCCACGTACCATCCGGCTATGGAATGAGCTCCCCTCCACGGTGTTTCCCGAGCGCTATGACATGTCCTTCTTCAAACGAGGCTTGTGGAGAGTATTAAGCGGTAGGCAGCGGCTTGGCTCTGCCCCTGGCATTGCTGAAGTCCATGGGCGACGGTAACCACTCACCATCAGGTGGGCCGTATGCCCGTCTGCCTACAAAGGCAATAAAAAAAAAAAAAAAGAATTACGCTGTTTGTTTGTATGCGTATTGTGAGGTTATTTTTTTCTTGGTTACCGTAGCCTATAGACACCAGAACCTACCAGATCTATCTATCAGAATGTAGATCTCATCTACTTTAAAACCCTACTTTCGAGTTTCAATAGTATTGCAATTTGTATGCGTTACTCTTCAAATCTTCTAAGCTGCTTCTCGGCGGAAACTGGTAACATCTATCCAGAGTACTTAAATTTTATAGTATCAACAAAAATTAAAGAAACGGAACTAACAATTAATATAATAATATAATAATATTAAGTTAATAATGAATATGCTCTGTGATATTTTTTACCGAAAATAAGTGATTGTTAATATTGTTATTAGTAAATGATAATGATTATAATAATCCGAATACATCAAAATGTTCTCAGGGATCGCACTATGGACAAGCGCTGTTGTTAGGGTTACATACACGAAATCTGATGGCTGATGCGTGGGGCGTTGGAAAAATTCAGACATAATAAAGTATATGTATTGAATATACCTGATATACTCAATATGGTGTACCAAAATTATCAATGGATCCGCATTCGTTCAGACATTCACATGTGATCAGATTTATCTATATCTATACTAATATAAAAATCTACAGTAGTTTTTACTGGATTGACTTGAAAATTGGTATCCATGTAAAAATACATGTATTTCATGGATAGGCTAATATTAATATGAGTATTGGACTCCCTAATAATAATGACAATAAATAATAATGCTAA